AATATGCAGTAGACGGAGCACTGGAATACACGTCTGCCGCGAACGACGCCATGACACATGATAATAATAATAATAATAATTATAATAATAATAATTATTATTATAATAATAATAATTATAATAATAATAATTATTATTATAATAATAATAATAATAATTATAATAATAATAATAATTATAATAATAATAATTATTATTATTATTATTATTATTATTATTATAATAATAATAATAATAACGTGTCCTCTGGTCTGTCTTATATGGTCTTCATAACAGTGACCATTTTCCATGCAAGGTGACCCTCGATACACACAAAGCCAATACACAAATTCCTCAATACTGGATCATGCCAAAAGCAGATTGGCATACATATGAACAGCAATTTTCCTCCTTGTAACTCTCTCAGGACAGCAGTGTATCGGTAGAGTTTATAACAAACGTTATAAATGAAGCGGCTCTTACTAGTATCCCACTCAGTAGAGGTATCCCAAGTAGACTTACACTACCCTGGTGGAATAGTGAAATTGCTGAATCAAAATGAAGAAAAATATGCTAAACACATTCAGAAGGCACGGCAAATTTGATTTCCTTTAAGCGGGCCAGAGCTAGGTCTCGACGCCTAATGTTGGAAAATCAAAGGCAGTCGTGGAAAGATTATGCATCCAGCATAACATCCGAGTCCCCATCAAGTGAGGTATGGAATAAAGTTCGCTCGATCAAGGGTAATGGATCACTAAGACAAATAAAAACTATAATGAGACCTTTAGAGCCCAGAAAATGCAACGAGAGATCCATTTAGATTTTTCCACAAATAATTGTCTCAATTATAATGTATCCTTTGAAATGCATGAATTAGAGGCAGTACTTCAATATGTCTCCAGATCAGCTCCAGGTCCAGATAAGATTAATTATGAAATGATCGTACATCTACCACAGAAATTCAAAGTCATCCTGCTGAACATCTACAATGAGATATGGGTAAATGGTGTATATCCTACATGTTGGAAACTTGCCACAATTGTACCAATTTTGAAAGATGGTAAGGATCCCCTGGTGACTTCCAGTTATAGACCTATAAGCTTAACCTGCTGTCTGGGTAAGATACTGGAAAGGATGATTTGTGAACGTTTAATGTGGATTTTGGAAAATGATGAACTGCTTGTAGGACACCAAGCAGGATTCAGGAGATTTAGATCCACATTGGACCGACTAGTCTACGTTGAGGACTTGATACAAAATGGCTTCAAAAACAGACAGCATACTGTGGCTGTGATGTTTGATGTAGAAAAAGCCTATGATATGACGTGGAGATATGATATCCTCAAACAGTTACATCCCCAGCGATTAGAGGAAATCTACCGATACTTATATCATCATTTTTGACAGATCGTCTCCTCCAAGTACGAATAGGAAATACCTTTTCCACAACACGCATCATAGAAAATGGTATCCCACAGGGATCAACCCTCAGCTGCACTCTTTTTGCGATAGCAATAAACTCAATCACTGAAAATGTCAATCCTGCTATAAACCAATGCTTATATGTTGATGACTTATGCATTTTAACTTCAGGAAAAACTGTTGGTGAAACTACTCGACTTCTACAACCTGCTATTGATACCATCTTACAGAATGCTAAGAACAAGGGATTGACCCTATCACGGATAAAAACACGATGTATCCATTTCTGTAGGCTTAGACGACCACACTATGATCCTCGCCTCTGTCTCAACAATGAACGCATACCCTGTGTGTCTTCTGTAAAATCCCTAGGCCTAACACTCGACAGTAAACTGACATGGAGAGATCACATTGAGGATCTTACTAACAGGTGCAAGAGAGCCCTGAACCTAATAAAATGCCTGTCGTCAACACGATTCGGAGCAGAAGCTGAGATGCTGATGCGGATATACAAGAGCATCATTCTATCTAAGCTTGACTACGGTAGCATTGTTTACTCATCTGCAAGACCGTCACTACTTAAAAAACTTGATACAGTTCACAACCAAGGATTACGTCTCTGCCTTGGAGCATTTCGTACAACTCCAGCAGCTAGCCTCTATTGCGAATCCGGAGTTGAACCTCTATCCATTAGACGTAAAAAACTTGCACTATCGTATTCTGCACAGATTCAAACACGACCATTCCATAGAAACTTTTCTATCATTTTCAGTACGGATGAGAGCTACATCTGTCGCCCCACAATAACAAGACCTCTCAGAGTCCGAGTTAAACAATATGCCGAGGAAATTGGTATATCATGTAACCCTATCTATAATGTTAAACACAGAGAATCTCCTCCATGGCTGTCACCCAAAATAAATGTGAATCTCGAGCTGACTGCACTATCTAAGAATGACCATCCATCTGAACTCATAAAGCCACGTTTTATGGAAATCGTTTCTAGATATCCGGCAGCAACAGTTATCTATACAGATGGATCGCGAACTGACAGTGGTGTCGGCTGTGCTATAGTAGTCGATCAAACTACACATCAATGGACACTATCACCAATAGCATCCATATTTACTGCTGAACAATATGCTATTTGGCAGGCCCTACGATATTGTGACATGTCGAATAACTTAACAACAGCTATTATAGCTAGTGACTCGCTCTCAGCACTTCAAGGCCTAATGAACTATGCATCTCGAGATTCCTTAACTGTGATGTGTCTTGAAACGGTCAAACATCTCTTAAATAAAGGGGTGAACGTAAAATTTCTGTGGTTGCCAGGACACGTTGGTATACAGGGGAATGAAGCTGCTGATATGGCAGCGAAAGCAGCAGCAGCGCAACAAAACATCGACATCCCTGAAATAAAAATGTCTGATCATAAAAACTACCTCATAAACCGTATACAGCGACACTGGCAAATTACATGGGGTAACACTGATACCCACTTAAGACAGATAAAACCTAGTGTAGGATCATGGCCTCATCCTATCAGACTGCCACGAGATGAATGGGTGCGCATACACCCCTTACGGTTTGACCACACACGTCTTACACATGCACATCTTTTGCTCGGAACAGATCCGCCCTTGTGCACTGGATGTAACTCTTCACTCACTGTACGCCACATTATCTGCACATGTCCGATATTGTCCCAATATCGAGTGATCTATGGACCATTTGATAACCTGACAGAGAGTCTCACACAACCAGAAAAACTGAAAAACGTCATATCATTCTTAAAAGTGTCTGGTTTCTATTGGAAGATCTGACCTAATAAACTTTTTGGAAATGAACCATTCTAATTTTTGTGTATCTTATTCTCAACTGAGATTAAATAAATCTTATGTAACGATGATTTTGCATCATACCTACCTTATCTTAGTGTTGTCATCTGGAACTAAAAGAAATATGTAGCAATAGAATTTGTATAAATCGAAATACTTACGTGAACGCAGACAAGATCGTGAAGTGCAGATAATGACCACAAAAAAAAATAAATATTAATGAATATATGCCTGACAAATTTAGTCGTGTAACATTTCCCAGATATTATCTTTTGTTGCTAATAGAATCTGAAAGTAAATGACAATAGTATATCCTTTTCGATTAATATCTGGAATTTGCATATTTAGTTTTTTAAAAATGCGACATTTACCACTTAGACATGTAAGAGATTAGATATTTTATACTATAGATTTATATATTATATTTATATATTATTGAATACGGCTAATAACCATAGAAGTTGAAGGCGTCAAAAAAAAATAATAATATTAATAATAATAATAATTATAATAATAATAATAATAATAATAATAATAATAATAATAATAATAGGGTTGTCGAAAAGGATCCAGAGGGTGTAAAGAACAATTAATAATAGATACGGTCATCACATCTCACGCGAAACGCTCACAAGGCACACAGCATATATAGACTATCAAAAAGCGTTTGACAGTGTTCCTCACTCCTGGCTACCCGAGGTGTTGCAGCTTTATAAAGTCGAGGCCCATGTACTGAATTTACTGAACTACGCCATGTCTCAGTGGAAAACCAGAATTGTCTTAAACACCAATCAAAAAAGTGTAGATGCAGGTACCATTAAAATAGAAAATGGAATATTCCAAGGGGACGCATTAAGTCCGCTATGGTTCTGTCTGTCGCTGCGACCCCTGACAACTATGTTGAATAGGCAGCGCAAAGGTTATATACTGCCACACTCAGACAAGAATATTAGCCACCTTTGGTACATGGATGATTCAAAGCTGTATGCAAAGCCTAAAAAACACCTTTACTACCTTCTGAGTTGTGTCACCTGATTCAGTCGCGACATAAAAATGTCATTTGGGCAGGACAAATGTAGGACCAGCGGGATGGAGAAGAGCCAGTGGGTACATCACGCGGGATATGAAGTTGCTGAGCGGCAAACCATCGCCGGAATGGAAGAGGGAGAAAGGTACAAATATCTTGAATATCTGCAAGCAAGAGGTCTAGATCATACAGCAGCAAAGCAGACAGTAAGTGACACCTACATTAAAAGAGTCCGGTCGATACTGAAGACTAAGCTGTCTGCCAGGAACATGGCAAAAGCAGTTAACACCTATGCTACATCTGCAGTTTCTTATAGCTTTGGAGTGATTCACTGGACAGACACAGAACTCAAAAACCTCAATATCCAAACCAGAAAAGAGTTCAGCAAATTTCGAGCACATCATCCACGTTCATCATTGGAAAGGTTCCACTTGCCTAGAAAGTTGGGTGGAAGAGGTATACCCGATCTAGTTATTAACCACAACAGGCAAGTAACAAACCTTAGGAACTACTTCCTCGCCAGGGCTGCGTCCTGTGAGATTCACCACGCTATCATAAGGGCGGACAATAAGGCTACTCCTTTAAGACTGGCAGACCAAAACTTTAGCCTCAGCGTGGACCAGCTCATGCCCGAGCAACAACTGCAACAATGGAAGAGTAAGGCACTCCATGGTAAATACCGCACCCTACTCGAGAACGATAACATCGATACCTTCGCGTCCACGGCCTACCTCCGCTCTGGTAACCTGTTTGCTGAGACAGAAGGGTTCATATCCCCAATCCAAGATCAGGTCATCGCAACTAAAGTATATAAAAGAAACATAATGCGGTAACGACAAGACAATATCAGATGTCGTGTGTGCGGTGAAAAAGATGAATACCTGGATCACATCATCGCTGGTTGCTCAATGTTGGCACTGAAATCCTACCTAGACAGGCACAACAGAGTCGGAAAGATAATCCACCAAAGCCTTCGTGAAAAGTACATGGGATTGACAGAAATAGTGCCGTACTATTTATACGAGCCGCCTGCTGTGTGCGAAGATGAACAAACCCGGCTCTACTGGAATCGAAAAATTATAACCGATAGACCGATAAGTAATAATATACCGGATATCGTGCTCACTCTAAAAAATGAAAACAAAGCATATATAGTAGATTTCGCTGTGCCATTGGGAGCCAACCTAGAAAAGACACATGGAGAAAAAATCAATAAATACCTACCCCTGAGCGATGAAATCCGCCAAATGTGGGACATGGAAACAGTAGTCATCATCCCCATTGTGATCGGAGCAACTGGAGAAATACCTAAAAAATTAAAAACATCACTGCAACAACTAGGATTACCGTTTGAATTATACTTACCTATGCAAAAGTCGGTCGTGTTGGACACATGCAGTGCAGTCCGTAGAGTTTTAGGACAAGATGTTTCTAACATCATCCTCGTACGGGCCATCTTGTTTCAAAACCGATGTGCCAGCGTTCTTAACCCAGAGAAGCCTGTGAATCAGTTAGATGATTAATGAATAATAATAATAATAATAATAATAATAATAATAATAATAATAATAATAATAATAATAATAATGATAATTATAATAATAATAATAATTATAATAATAATAATAATAATTATAATAATAGTAATAATAATAATAATAATAGTAATAATAATAATAATAATAATTATAATAATAATATTAATAGTAATTATTACTATTATAATAATAATAATCATAATACTAATAATAATAATAATTATTATTATTATAATTATTATTATTATTATTATTATTATTATTATTATTATTATCATTATTATTATTATTATTGTTATTATTATTATTATTAATAATAATTGTCCCGTGTGGAGTTGCTAGTCTCCCATCGGGCGCCTCCCTGTGCGAATTGGGAAACGCTCTCCAGATATGGAGGGTACCGGGGAAATAAAATACCCGGGGTGGACAAAAACTAGCACCACCGCTCTATGGGTTAGCACCCCCTAGAGAGTGTATATTTAAATGCTTTTAAAACGAGAAATAAGAGATACTCAGGCGGGCCAGCGCAGCAGGAGCCGGGTCGGAACCGTCTTGAAGATTTACCTGCAACCTACCGCGGCAATGAACAAGGACCAACCAGATTACCAACCCAGTCGAGTACACCACCACCAAACGTACCAAGCCAAGATGTCGGTGTTGCTGGACCATCAGAGCCCATGCCCACCACGTCACAAGGCACAGTTAGGCAAAGAACCATGTGGACAGGGGAAATCAATGCATTCGTGGTTCGCTGCTATTACAAATTAACCCGACTAGAAACCGCCAAAACTCCATACAGCCGAGAACTACATAGACTGGTAACTGAAAAATTCCCAATGCTTCGTCATAAGACTATACAAAATATCATAGACCAGCGAAGATCTATATTTATAAATAGACGCCTATCACCAGGTATTATTACACAAATAAAGCGCGAAGTTGCGATAGAACTATCTATAAATTTACCTGCTGATCTCCCCAATGCTGACGATGAACCAGCGGCCCCAGCACCGGAAGCTAACAGACCACCATCTGCTGCTGAGCTGGAATTCGAAAGGGTTCATTTGCTTTATGATGGAATGGACCCTATGATGAAACCTAGACTTCCCAAAATAATTTATATTAACAAGACAAAATCTATATTGGGTGAAATCAACAAAATTCTGGATTCCAAAATAACAACTGATATACCCATCGAAAATCTGCACAGCCTTATTTATAGTGGAGCAGCAGCGGTGCTAACAGTAAACAAGCAGAATATCTCCACGGACACTCAAGTTAAAAATGTCCCAGCCACGCCAGGATGGCAGCGCCGAATTACTAATAAAATCGATAGTATCAGGCGGGACATAGGAATTCTGACACAAAATCAAAGCTTGAACCCCAGCAGCTCAGTCACTAAGTAAGCCAAAGCCATTCTTGAAAGGGAACAAAGCCTCGAAAATCCAACAGCAACAGAAATACTGGATCACCTTAAACAAAAACTCAAGGCTATGGCTAAAAAACTCCGACGGTATAAGGAAAGCAACACAAGACGTCAACACAGTAGTCAGTTTAGCAGGAGTGAAAGGAGCTTTTATAAAAATTTAGAGTCTGAAGATCAGGAGATTGAAACCCTGCAAGAAAATAAGGTCCCCACACCAGAGGCCATGAAAACGTTTTGGGAATCAACCTGGGGAAACCGTGTGATTCACAACAATACCAGATGGCTGTCTGACGAGAAGAGATCTACATCTGACCTACAGACAATGTTGGAATGGGAAGTAACAACCGACCAAGTAACCAAGGCTATAAACAAGACCTTGAATTGGAAGGCACCTGGACAGGATACAATCCAAAATTTCTGGTATAAACAATTCAAGGTCATTCATCAACAACTAGCCAAAGGTTATACTCATCTGCTGTCCAACCCTGAAGAACTGCCACCATTCATGACCAGTGGAATCACTTATTTGTTACCAAAAACGAAGGTGTCCTCAGAAGAGCCATCCAAATATAGGCCGATCACCTGCCTTCCTACAATATACATATAAAATATTCACGTCCATCCTATCGGAAAAGATATACAGCCACCTGGAAAGAAATAACCTGTTGGACGAAGAGCAGAAGGGTAGTCGAAAAGGATCCAGAGGGTGTAAAGAACAACTAATAATAGATACGGTCATCACATCTCACGCGAAACGCTCAAAAGGCTCTTTGCACACAGCGTATATAGACTATCAAAAAGCGTTTGACAGTGTTCCTCACTCCTGGCTATCCGAGGTGCTGCAGCTTTATAAAGTCGAGGCCGATGTTCTGAATTTACTGAACTACGCCATGTCTCAGTGGAAAACCAGAATTCTCTTAAACACCAACCAAAAAGTGTAGATGCAGGTACCATTAAAATAGAAAATGGAATATTCCAAGGAGACGCATTAAGTCCGCTATGGTTCTGTCTGTCGCTGCGACCCCTGACAACTATGTTGAATAGGCAGCGCAAATGTTATATACTGCCACACTCAGACAAGAATATTAGACACCTTTGGTACATGGATGATTTAAAGCTGTATGCAAATCTAAAAAACACCTTGACGACCTTCTGACTTGCGTCACCCGATTCAGTCGCGACATAAAAATGTCATTTGGGCTGGACAAATGTAGGACCAGCGGGATGGAGAAGGGCCAGTGGGTACATCACGCGGGATATGAAGTTGCTGAGCGGTAAACCATCGCCGGAATGGAAGAGGGAGAAAGGTACAAATATCTTGGATATCTACAAGCAAGAGGTCTAGATCATACAGCAGCAAAGCAGACAGTAAGTGACACCTACATTAAAAGAATCCGGTCGATACTGAAGACTAAGCTGTCTGCCAGGAACATGGCAAAAGCAGTTAACACCTATGCCACATAGCTTTGGAGTGATTCGCTGGACAGCAACAGAACTCAAAAACCTCAATATCAAAACCAGAAAAGAGTTCAGCAAATTTCGAGCACATCATCCACGTTCATCATTGGAAAGGTTCCACTTGCCTAGAAAGTTGGGTGGAAGAGGTATACCTGATCTAGTTATTAACCACAACAGGCAAGTAACAAACCTTAGGAACTACTTCCTCGCCAGGGCTGCGTCCAGTGAGATTCACCACGCTATCATAAGGGCGGACAATAAGGCTACTCATACTCATACCCGAGCAACAACTGCAGCAATGGAAGAGTAAGGCACTTCATGGTAAATACCGCACCCTACTCGAGAGCGATAAGATCGATACCTTCGCATCCACAGCCTACCTCCGCTCTGGAAACCTGTTTGCTGAGACAGAAGGGTTCATATCTGCTATCTAAGATCAGGTCATCGCAACTAAAGTATATAAAAGAAACATAATGCGGGAACGACAAGATAATATCAGATGTCGTGTGTGCGGTGAAAAGGATGAATACCTGGACCACATCATCGCTGGCTGCTCAATGTTGGCACCGAAATCCCACCTAGACAGGCACAACAGAGTCGGAAAGATAATCCACCAAAGCCTTCGTGAAAAGTACATGGGATTGACAGAAATAGTGCCGTACTATTTATACGAGCCGCCTGCTGTGTGCGAAGATGAACAAACACGGCTCTACTGGAATCGAAAAATTATAACTGATAGACCGATAAGTAATAATATACCGGATATCGTGCTCACTCTAAAAAATGAAAACAAAACATACATAGTAGATTTCGCTGTGCCATTGGGAGCCAACCTAGAAAAAAATCAATAAATACCTACCCCTGCGCGATGAAATCCGCCAAATGTGGGACATGGAAACAGTAGTTATCATCCCCATTGTGATCGGAGCAACTGGAGAAATACCTAAAAAATTAAAAACATCACTGCAACAACTAGGATTACCGTTTGAATTATACATACCCATGCAAAAGTCGGTCGTATTGGACACATGCAGTGTAGTCCGTAGAGTTTTAGGCGGCAACTAGAACAAGATGTTTTTAACATCAGCATCTTGTTTCAAAACCGATGTGCCAGCGTTCTTAACCCAGGGAAGCCTGTGAATCAGATGAATAATAATAATTATAATAATAATAATAATTATTATTATTATTATTATTATAATAATAATATTAATGGTACTTATTACTATTATAATAATAATAATCATAATACTAATAATAATAATTATAATAATAGTAATAATAATAATAATTATAATAATAATAATTATTATTATTATTATAATAATAATAATTATAATAATAATAATTATTATTATTATAATAATAATAATAATTATGATAATAATAATGACTCAATAAGCTAAGGTTGGACCATAAATTGAAGGCAGACATAACGAAATACAATGAATTCCTAGAAGGATTCTTGGATAAACACCGTTTGAGCCTCTTTGACTTGAATACCCTTATTTATATCACAGCAAGAAAAATAACTGAAACCATCATAAAAAGACCAGCGACAACGAGCACTAATAGAAAATCAAACAACGGTAAGGGATGGAAAGACAGGCTAAAAGCTAACATCCAGAACTTAAGGAAGGACCTGTCTTGGCTTTCGGAACTGCGATGTGTAACAAATGTCCGTAATTGCAAAATGAACAGTTTGGTCAGAGCATACAAAATCCAGAGCATAGAAGACCTGAAGACAAGGAAAGAAAAGTTCAAACAAAAGATCTCTGCAAAGGCACAAAGACTGCGAAGATACACAGAACGGCAACAACAGTATTCCGAAAATATGAGGTTTGAAACGGATACTAAGGGTTTCTATAGAAATCTAACACAAGAAAAAATAGAGCTGATACAGCTTCCATCAAAGGACCGTGTCCAGCATTTTTGGAAAGCTCTGTGGGAACAGCAACCATCACATTACGAAACAGCAGAATGGATAGGCAGGTTTGAAAGCGAAAACAACTACAGCATGACATGGTGCGAAATAGACCAAATAGAAGTCACAGAAGGTTTTTGATCAGCTGCCAACTGGAAAGCTCCTCGTCATGATATGGTGCCCAATTTTTGGTACAAATCCCTGAAAGCAACGCATCGACATTTAGCTCGCCTATACAATGAAGTAATCAACTCAGAATACTTTCCTAGCTGGCTAGCCACAGGAAAAACCACTCTGATACCCAAATACCAAGACACAGCTGTGGAAAGAAACTATAGACCGATAACATGCCTACCATCAATCTATAAGAATTTTACTTCAATTCTCTACCAAAGAATCTATGCCCACATCGAGCAGAACAACATTCTGCCGCCGGAACAGAAGGGATGCTGTAAAGGATCCAAGGGATGTAAAGACTCATGCTTTCGAAGTATATCTTAGACGACTGCAGAAGACGTAAACGAAATCTAACTTTAGCCTGGATTGACTACAAGAAAGCTTTTGATTCAGTTCCCCACCCCTGGATTCTAAAAAGTCTGCAACTTGTCGGTGTGAACGACAAAATCATTGAGCTTTGCAAACGAATGATGATTTCTTGGAGTACCACGGTTCATCTAAAAGGTCAAAATACTGAGATCGTCACATCAAAAATTAATATCAGAAGAGGCATCTTCCAAGGGGACGCCCTGTCACCTCTTCTTTTCTGTATCTCACTCATTCCTTTGTCTGCTGAACTGAATAGAATGAGAGCTGGCTACATTTTAAATGGTTCCAAAGTCAACCACCTTCTCTATATGGATGATCTGAAACTGATTGGAAAAAATGAGACAGATCTAGAAGAACAAATCAACACAGTTAGAAGATTCAGCGATGTTATCCATATGGAGTTTGGGCTGGATAAGTGCGCGCAGGCTATATTCAGAAAAGGAAAGCTGCAAAGGAAGAACTACATGGAAGAGACACAGTTCTATCAAATTGAAGATGCTGATACTTATACATATTTAGGTATTGACGAAGGAGAACGGATAAATCATAACTTAATCAAACAGAAGGTCAAGAAGGAATACGTTAGAAGACTCAGGCTGCTGCTCAATAGTCATCTGTACAGCAGAAATAAGATCCGCGCGCTAGGTCAATTTGCATTGCCAGTCCTTGTTTATAGTTTTGGCGTAATCGATTGGCAATTGGAAGAAATAAAAGCAATCGACCGAAAAACGCGTAAACTGCTAACATTATATGGCATGCTACATCCTCGCGCCGACACCGACAGGCTTTACGTTTCCAGGAAAGAGGGAGGCAGGGGACTGCAGCAAGTGGAGGCAGCCTACAAGTCAGCAATACTCAGTATAAGCGACTACTGTGAAAACAGCCCAGACAGAATGATGATGATACGATGTCTCTCTGCCAGTAACTAAGTCCCTTATACAAACTGCAACAAAATTCCGTCGCCAGTTATCTATACGGGAATCCTTAGGACCAGACTTGCAGAAAAGAAAGGTGACCTACAAAATATGTATCCAGTCGGTACTGAGGGAGAAATGGCAAGGAAAGGCCCTGCATGGACAATATGTTACCCGAGTACTTCAAAACCATAACCTCAGCAAAGACCACACAGTGAGCTGGCTCACAAGAGCAAACGTAAAGGGTGAAACAGAAAGTCTCATAACAGCGGCACAAGGTCAAGCCTTAAATACTAACTACCATTCGAACCGGATACTGGGAAGAAACAACGATCCCAAATGTAGGATATGCAAAGAGAACGATAAAACCATATCTCACATAATGTCTTCATGCCCTATCCTCGCTCAGCGCGAATACGTTACACGACACGACAGAGTTGCCAAGATCTTGCACCACTCAATCTGCAAAGATTTCGATATTGACGTTAAACAGCGTTGGTATGATCATAAACCACAGCAGGTTGTAACTGCAACTAATGTCACCATTCTTTGGAATCAGCCTATAACAACAGACCGAACAATTGTTGCCAATAAACCGGACATCGTTATCAAAGACCATAAAAGTAAGTTATGCACTATGATGTTGCAGTACCATCAGATTACAACGTGAAAGACAAAGAAGCTGAAAAGTTTCTAAAGTACCGGGATTTGTCTATTGAGATAAACAGAATGTGGCGAATGCGTACGCACATAGTACCAATTATAATAGGTTCCACAGGTGCCGTGTCTAAGAATTTTGACGCATATGTCCAGTCTCAGATACCTTAAACCCTTACCAACTTCAAACTGTAGCCATATTCGGTACAGCCCACATTATTAGAAAGGTCATAATGTAACGTCTAACCTAAGGGGTAAGGCATACCCCCGGTTTTGACGAAGAAAGTAATCCAGCCACCAACAATCAAGAGCTGAGAAAGTTAAAAGAAATAATAATAATAATTATAATAATAATAATAATAATAATAATAATAATAATAATAATAATAATAATAATAATAATAATTATAATATTAATAATAATAATTATAATAATAATAATAACTCCACAGAAATCCAACCCCTCTTCCGGAGCAAGAAGTCAAGCATTAGCTCCAAGTGTGGAGCGGGCAGCGGCACAAAGAACATCAGTGTGCATAATTCTGGCGAACGGGGCTCTGGTAAGATATAACCACGATGTCAGGTAAAACTACGAAGTAGATACCCCAGGTAGGTAGAGCCGCTAGCTCAGAATCCTACACTGCACTTGCAGTCAGTCCCGCGGATTCTGGGGGGGACACCTCGACATTAGGAGCTACAAACGTCCCAGCAAGGACAGCGTGTTGTAATGGAAATCAGCAACCACCAAATCAACGGCTAAGGGGCTCGCGGAACATTAGCCTGCGAAAACCTTACTCAGAACTACCTCCAGCACAAGACCTGCATCCCACAGATTCAGCTCAAAGGGACAGTCTTGAAGCACGACCTGATCAGATGAATAATCTTAGAAGACGAAGATGGTCAAAGGAGGAGAACTATGAAGTGATGTGGGCATACTACAGTGCGATTGCAAGTAAAATCGCAGCTCCAAAAACAAGAGGCACCTTCGAGATCTGGAGAAATCGTAATCCAAATATTATGCCAGAAATGAATGCACAAAAACTGTCAAACTAGCGACGTGTAATAGAAAGGAATTTAACGGAAGCAGAACGACAGGAAATAAAATTCGGTGTGTATTCGTACCTTCACCAGCAAGAAAATGAACCTACACTGCCACCTGCTACCGTAGAGAGTAATAAAGGAGAGCTAGCTGAGAATAACAACACTCCTATAGCGACTAAGAACGAAGAATTATCTGAGAATAACGATGCCAAGTGGCATGCTCAGGGTGAGGCAGTTG